GCACACTAAAGTCGTGAAAGTTGCCAGAGACCCCAATTCCCAACTTTGTAAATCATATATCAAGAAAAGAATACTATTTGAAATGTACTCTGGCTCTTTTAAAAGAACAGTCAGTGAAAACATTACCCTACATAAAACGCTCAAAACTGCTTTGGGGATACTGAACTGAGATCACGTGATCACGAGCAGAAAGCATGCACAATCCTCTGAGGTACCTAAAAGGATAGGTGGTATTTGTTGATGAGTATATTTTAGGGCCTCCTTTGTTTACTACCATCGTGCCTGAAAATTTATCCAGAGTTTTTCGCACCGCAGTCTACTCTGTTAGGTTGCATGGAGACACATAACATGTGTCACATGATAAGCTTGAAATCCTCAGATTCACTTTAAAGGACTCTCGCAAGCTTGTTGAAATCCAGAAAGTGACCAACTGACCCACCGGCTGATAAAAAAAAAATACTTGTCTTGTTTCTTTTTTATATTTCATATCAAATAAATATTAATGCTTTTGCCGCAAACGTAAAAGCCTCTCAAAGCCTGAATGAAGATGAAAATACTTTTCTACATTTACATTTTTTGTTATTTACAAATACATTTTTGACAGGAGAGCCTCGGACCACTACCACCGAGTCAAATGAGCCGCCGTGTAAGAAGCACCGTGATTACAATCGCGAGTACGGTATGGCTGGCAAGAAAACAAAATTTGATTATCATGGTATGTTTAAAAAGCTTTCCTTCCATTTGTTCTTTTCAATCGTTGTTACGTTCTGAGACTGTATTTTATATAGTAAATCTATCAGTAAATAATCCACGTCAGTGGCCTAGTTAAGATTTCTCAAGTGGGGGGCAAAAAGGGGGCACCAACATCTTATGGGGGACACCTGCTTTCAGTGGTGTGGTTTTTTGGTTACCCTTGTTCAATATCCATTCATCCGGGTTTTTTTTGGGGGGGGGCCTGGAGGCACCAGGACTTTGTGGGGGGCATGTCCCCCCGCCCCCTTCCGTGGCAACACCGCTGATCCACGTAACTGGTAGTCCAACGAATCAGCCTTTCTGACACGCTGAAACTCATTTGAGTAAAAAAGACCAACGTAGGGAAATAAAAGGGATGAATTTCATTTTAATATAATAATCGATAATAATCGAATAAACGGCTTGTACCCCCTTTTAAAAAGTGTTGACTTTCAAATACGAGAATTGTGTGGGCATATTAACGTATTGAAGTATTAAAATTCCCTTATGGAAAAGGACGAGCTCAGAACTGCATCGCTTTTTGTAGGACAAAAATGTCGATTACTTAAATGCGAGAACACTTATAAAGTCCTTAAACGGTACCACTAAAGAAATTACGTCCACTGAATTACATCTTATCAGATCTCCTCGGGGATTCTGGCACATTACCTTGTGGCGAAGAACTATTCAATGCATCAGCCATGGGAAACACCGAAAAGGTCAAGGAAATCATCAGCAGACATCCTGATTTGGTAAGGGCCAGCAAGCTGCAAAACTTATCAGGAAATAATCGAATTCGAAATGACAGGGGAACAAACCCTGTGATTGTGTTTGCATCTGACCACTGCGCGGGATTTTATGTAGATCCCTTGCAAAAATAACTTTAGTAAAATGTATGAGCATATGTTGATCACAAATGAAATTTCAGTGTAACACAAATCTGTGGTGTGAAAAGTCAAAATGCTACAAAATGTTACGTAAAAGTAACCGTGCATTCACTCAAATGAGTTACATGCAATAATCATGTATCTCATAGGTTAAGTTTCAGAACAAGCAAGGGCAGACTCCACTGCATGCTGCCGCCTTCGGTGGCCACATGGATACCGTTATCGACTTGGTTACCAATAAGGCTCCATTGGAACAGCAAGACAGAGACGGATGTACGGCACTGGTGTCTGCAATATACGGGTGAGTTTGTTATTGGGTGTAGATAAAGCAATGCATATCATCCAAAACGAGCCTCAAGTGAAATGACTTTCTCTTTTACGTTTCATAGAGATGAACCAGACGTTGTGAAATATCTTTTGAATGCTGGGAGCAATGCAATTTGTCCAAGCAAAACGGATTTAACCCTACTTCACTTAGCTGCTCGCCAGGGTCACGAGAAGTGCTTCAAGGTATTACTGCTTGACAGTTGCCAAGTGCGTGATATCAACCGGAAGGTAAGACCAGAAACTTAACTTCCGCGATCTGGAATTTAAGTGGAAGGGAATCATTTATATTTTGCGTGGGAGTCTTTCTTTATTCTCTCCTGATTGTGGGATGTGCTATTAAGCGCGAATTGTGCTAATTTTCAACACTTCGGTTTGCATAAACGTCCAAAAAATTAGATTGCGATTTCAAAGGAGAACAATGGGTTTCCAGATAAATGTTAGAAGCACAATGCTGATTTTTGATGCTGAAAATCGGAGATCATTACAGTGTTATAAGCCACATGTGCCATTTTTGCGCTACCTGACTGACATTGAGAAGAGTACATGGGAAAAAACGTCCGTACACAGAGCTTTTTTTGTTAACAGGATGCTCTTGGATATACACCACTGTCAATCGCCATCAAAGAAAACCACGAACCGATAATACAGTTGTTGGTGGAACGCCCAGATGTGGACCTTGACCTGAGAAACGCCAACCAGATGAACTCTTTGCAATTTGCGGCCCTTATTGGAACTAATTTGTGAGTTGAAGTTCGTTTGTGGATCTTGGCACACAGGTGTCTGCGAAACGGAATATTGGAATCCATGCAATTTGTCTGTGAGTTGGATTGGGTAGAATCACGTTTTCTATTGTCATTTCAAGTCGTAAACACTACCTTCCGAAACAAAATATTGCAGAGTAAACTCCTCTGCAGGAAAAAAATGGAATTTCTAATCAAATTAACTTGCGAATTTGCTGCCATGTTTATTCAACTCGTTTTTTGCCAAAGTATGACAAACCCAGCCGAGACAAAACAAGAACACAAAGTAACAGAATCAATCTTCTATGCCACAAGACAGGCAGTTTTGTGCTCATGAACGAGATAGTGATCGGCGGAGAAAACAAAATGAACTTATTGCAGTTATGCCCTCTATTCAGTTAAGTTTATTGTCGGAGGAATGAAGCATAATGACAGTAATAGCATTTAAATTCGGTCGACAGTTCATTTAAATCTTCTTGTTTTATTTAGTGCGGTCGAGCAGATTCTAAAAGTCAAGCCCAAGCTGCTAAATGTGGCGAAGAACGACGGTTTGACATCACTACATATCGCTGCACTCAACGGCCACAAGGACACTGTGCTTACCCTCCTAAAGAACGTAAGAAAGGTTAAAATGTGCAAGAAATCAAGAAAGTTGTGTAAATGTTCACACAAAGCATATATGCCTGCAAGTACTGCTGTCATGGGGATGTTATTCCTTCGAAGATCTTATCACACCTTATTTCCCTTCAAAAGCAATGTAACGGAGTATTTAAAATATACTTTAAGCAGTGTAAAATACGGCATTCCGTTAGTTCGTGCGGCTGTGAAGCTTTGTTGTATTCTGAAAATAGGAACCAATAACTGATTAAATTATTAACACATTATTTAACAATGAATTATGTATCGTCACCATCGAATATTGTTTCTTGAAGCAGTTAATCATTTTCTTCTCAACATAGTGATTGGAACACTTAAACAAATTAAGTCGAAAAAATTACGCGACTTAAGGGAGTGTTTTACAACGAATTCCTAACGCGCTTTTTCATGAAGCACATTGTACAAAATGGGGTTCTCAGGTATTTAAACAAATCAAGGCATTATTTTTCGTTTGCTGACATTACAAGTGAGTTTAGAAACATGTCACTGAAAAACTCAGCCCGAAAATACACTTGTTCATACTCTTTTTAAGAATCGTAATATGTGAAGGTGTTTAAGTTAGGTTCAAACGTTTTTAAGAAAGGTTTGAGGGTATTATTTTGCCCAGTATCCACTAAGGTATTAACGATAAACCTCAATCTTAATGGCTTGTAACTCATACGGTATTATGGGACCTTTAGTATTTCAATTTAAAAGAGTCCGTTGTACAGGAAAAAAAGTCAATTGTTAAATAACCGAACCCTGTATTCGAGGCTTGAAGGGAAAAATGTCTCGGCATTTATTTTAAAATAAAACAACAATGGACCTTCTTGAATATCTACGTGACAAGAAGGGCAAAAGTTTCCTTTGGTCAGATATTCCTATACCTGTTGTAGAAGTAAAATCTTCTTTAGTGTGGTTGATTTGACAAAGTTGTATTTCGCCCAACAAGCAAAAACTCATCTTGAATGTGTATACATTCTATAATACAATATCTTAAAGGTATAAAGAGATACTACGTCTGATAGCTGTGGGAATACAATGTTTTGTTTCAACATGTGAAGGAAGACTGCTTAAAGGATCTTAAAAATGCTGAAAGGCAGACGGCGCTGCATCTAGCTATTTTCAGGAGGCATTACGATTGTGTCAAGGCTCTGGTGGATAATGGTGCCAACGTAAACGCGCAGGACAAAGATGGTGATACTTGTCTTCATCTGGTTATGACGAAAATTCCCACATCTATTGAAAAACTTGTAGATAAAGAACCAGAAGACGAGGTAAGCGTAGCGGGGCAACTGACTGATCAACCCATTGATTCGCAAGTTTCTTTTTTTTAAATTGACATTCGGCTATTTTATTCTTTGATTTAGTTTTGCCAAGGATCAGTTTTAGAGTGTGAAGCTTTTGTGTGCACGGGGTCTGATTTCCAGAAATTTTAAAATCTTTGTGAAGAGTGTTCCTTACTTTTAACGAACGCATGTATAAGGTAGCAAATAGCCTGCATTGACTCTAAAAGTTAAAAATTTACATATTCTAAATGTACATGACGTGGCGCGGATGCAAAAGCATGTGACACAGACAACACGAGAAAAAAAGAAAAGAAAGAAAAAAGAAGAAAAAAGTCTCAGAGTTAGGTCGAGGACAAAACATTTTCATTATTTTTTAAAGTTTTAAACTTTTTATGAACGGAATATCGGCTGGGAGACTCATCTTTATCATTCGTCTTTCGACAAGTTCAATTGTTAAGTCCCGGCACCCCTATAGGTGTTATGCCTCTGTTGCTACCAAAGCAATCAGCAGTTATGAATTGTGACACTGAAATCGTCACCATGTTCACGAAGGAACCGGCATGTGGATTTAGAAGGAAAATTGTTTTCGAAGTAATGGCAATAAAAGTTTCTCATTTTTGAGTTTGCAAACACTACTTCTCAGAAACAATTTCATGCGCTACAGAAACCTTGTACGTGTACGTGAAAAGGGGCAGGGATTTTTGGGTCTCGTGGTGAAAACGCCAAATGATATAATCAAGACGCTTTGCCCCTGGTATCATTAATTTGCTTGGAGTATTAATGATGTATTGCTTTACATGAAAGCATGTCAAATGGTTACTTACGATACTTCAAAGGGAATTAGTGAAAAACACCAATTTTTATCCACCTGCCTCTTCGCAACAATGGTGACTAGATACATGTGCTTTTCTCTGCCACGGTAAAAAAGGACTGTCATTAATTCCATTATTTTCTACTGAAAGGGACAAAAAATTGAGACACCAGATGCTCACCAGAAGGAAATTATCGAATTGCTGGTTCGACACCCAAAAGTTGACGTTGCATTGAGAAACAATGACGACTTCAGCTGTCTACACTTCGCAGCACTGAAAGGGAATAAATTGTAAGTACACAAAATTAATGTTTTCATGGTGCTACCTAGTTACGTTTCAAATATCATCTGCAAGTAAACTTGAATCTGGCCACTCATTGATGTCCGCGGCAACAAA